CCCAGCCACTCGGTGTTCGTGCAGGATCTCGGCCACCGGCTGGCCGCGGACTTTCTGGCCTTCCGCGAGGCGGCCGGCCTGCCGAGCTCCGGCCCCGGCTCGGCGGCGGTGGTGGTGGTGGCCTTCGGGCTGGGCAATGTCGGGGCGCCGGCCCTGCGGGCAAGCTCCGACTATGTGACCTTCTGCCAGTCGACCGCGGGCGAGGCGGTGGCGCCGGCGCGGGCGTCCCTGGCCGGCCTGCAGGGGACCTTCGCCGGGCGTGAGCGTCTGGCGGCGGCTGGGCGCGTGGCCGCGCTGGCCAGCCCGCCGCAGATGCAGCTGGCCTTGCTGGTGTGTGTGCGGAATGCCCTGCGCGCGCGGCTCGGCCCGGCCGGGCCGGCCCTCCGCGTGGAGGCCTTCGATCCGGTCTTCGACGAGCGGGACCGCCAGGTCCTCCGGGCGCTAGGCATCACCCCGCTGACGGTGAATGAGGTGCGTGCCGGTGGCCGTTGCGTGTCCATGTCCGTTTGTGTGTGTGTGTGTGTGTGGGCCTGGGGTTGCTTTTCCCCGGGTCGTGTGGTTTTTTTTTCCCCTTGCCCGCCTGGGTGCTCTGTTTTTTTTTCCCTCGCCCCTTCCCCCCTGCCCCGGCTGTGGCGTGTCTTCCGGCGCAAGCGGCCTGTCTGTGCCTGACGCTCTCCTTGTTGTTGCCGCTCGCCGGGCGACCATCACATGTGGTCCCCCTTGTGCCGGGGCTCGCGTGGGCATGGCTCGTGGCCGGCCGCGCAGGCCGGCCGCCGCCGGGCCGAGACCCCCACGCTCTTCTTCATGCCGCACTGCGACCGGTTCCTGTATGATGCTCTGTTGGATGAGAATCTGGCCGACGGGCGGGACACCCTGGCCCGGTGCCTGGTGTTTGGGAACTTCCTTGCCCGGTACGCGGACCCGGGGCTCGGCGGCCCGGAGGCCCTGGTCCAGAGTGGGTTCCACAGCCTGGCGGCCGTGGTGCGGCAGGCCCGGGTGCTTGCCGGGCTGGACGCCATGCATGAGCGCCGGACATGGGCCGGGATGGCGGGCGCCGGTGCCCCGGCCGACCCCCTGCCGGTGGCCCTCTTCGACGAGGCCTTCAGCGACTGCCGGCTGCAGAGCTTCCGCCCGGCGGCGGCGGCGGCGGCGGCGACCGGTCGCCGGCCCGGCCAGGCCGGTGGTGGTCGGGCGGGTCAGGCAGGCCAGGCGGGCCGACGCGCCGCCGGGCCCGGGCCGGCCTCCCGCGGCTGAGCGTGCGCCCCCGCGCGCGCGCGCGCGCGGAATACACATCCACACAGGCGCAAGCAGACGCGCACACACGCGCACGCATGTCCAGAGGACCAGGGCAGGCGGGTCTGTTGTGTGCGCACGCCGAGGGGGAGGGGGCGGGACCTGCGGCGGCGGCGGCGGCGGCGGCGGCGGCGGCGGCGGCGGGGACGGGCACGCGAGCGGCGCGGTTGGCTGATGATCGCGGCATCGCTTGCCGGGCGTTGGCATGTGGGGCCGCCGGCGTCGGCATCTCGGGCCCCTCGGGCCGCTGTCCCCGGCGGCGGCGGCGGCGGCGGGGGCGGTGTCCGGTCGCCGCACAGGCCCGGGGGCCAGGCTGTCGCGGGCGTGCCGGCGAGTGTGTCCCTGCGCGCCGGGCGCGGGAGGCGGACCCGGGCCGTGTTCTCATGCGCCCCCTGGGTGGCGGCCGCGCCGGCCAGAGGGCCAGGAGGGGGACACCGCCCCCGGGGCTCGGGGACGCAGGCAGGCAGGCAGGCAGGTAGGCAGGCGGGCAGGCAGGAGGGCCAAGGCCAAGCGCGGCCACATCGTTCGGCGGTGCGGGCGCCGGCGGCCCGGTCGGGCGCCCCCCCCCCCGAGCCCCGGGCGACCCACGGAGGGGGCACCCGAACCGGCGACCGGGGCGGCATTCGTCCCAGCGCCTCCGCCCCCCTCGCCCCCCCCCCCCCCCGGCCCTCCCGCGGGAACCCCTGGCCGGGCGGGCGGTGTCGGTTCTGGCCGAGCGGTCTCCGGAATTTGGCCGTTCTGGGAGAGCCCCGGCGCTGTTGGCCCGGCGCGCCAGCCACCGATGATCGGCCCCGGCCCGGGGGCCGGGCCCGAAGGGCCAGTGGAGCACCCGACAACGAATGCTTGCCGGCCGGGCGCCGGCCCGCGCCGGCGACCGGTGAGCGGGCCCGGGCGGCGCGATCCCGCACGCCCGGGCCGCGGACGCGCCGATCGCCCCGGGGTACTGCTGGCCCGCGCGCGCGCGCGTGCGCGCACCGGCACAACCTTGCACAGGCGTACGCACGGGCGCGTGCGCGCGGGTATGCGCCCCCCGCCGCCCCCTGTCCTTCGGCTCGCGTGCCATGCACAGGGGAACAGCGCCCCGGCCGGAGAGAGAGCATGCCGCGGCCCTGGCGCGGCCACATTTTCGGGCGCCCTCATTTCGGAGCCCTGGGCCCCGGGGCCGCCCCCAGCAATTACCTCCTCTCCCCCGCGCCCCCTCCCTGCCCATTTCGCTGCCCTCCGCCCTCTCTATCCTCCCTTTGTGCCTGGCCCGGGGCTTCGCCTTTGCCCCCTCCCCCTCCCGCTCGCCGCCTGCGGCGCGCCGTCGGCCGAGGCCCCTCCCCCCCCCCGCCAGCCATGTCGGATCTCGTTGTCAAGGCGGCCTCCGAGCTGTCCAAGAGCCTGGCCGGGGTCATCCACCTGGGCTGCGCATTGCAGTTTGTCGACCAGGAGGGGTCCGAAGGCCGTGCGGCCGAGGCGCCGGGCGCCAGCGACCCGGCGCCCGGGCCCTTTGCCCTGTCCAAGGAGGACGCCCTGCGCCAGATTGCGTGCGTGCTTGCGCCCGGCCACACGGCCGCACAGGCGCGCGGCCTCCTGTCACCACCTGCCATGTCGCTGACACGCCGCCCCCCCCCCCCCCTGCGCTTTTGCCACACACACACACACACCCCCCCCCCCCCCCCCCCCCCCCCCCCCCCCCCGCCCCCCATAGGTCCATCGTCTCCACACCGCCGGAGGACCCGGTCGCCGTGAAGGAGGCTCTGAACAACCACCAGAAGCGCCCCCGTCGGCGGGCCTCGCCGGGGGGCCTCCCGCCGGGGGCCATCCACAGCGAGCCCGATGTGCCGGTGGTGGCCCTGGTGGCCGTGCGCCCATGGCAGGGCGAAACCGTGCGTCCCCCCCCCCCCCTCCGACCCGCACAGCAACCCCCCGCCCCCCATGCTCCGGCCCCTGACCCGCGCCTCGCATTGGACCCGCAGTTCGCGCCGGACGATGAAATTATCACCTGCTCGCGGACCGGCCGGCCGCTGGCCTTCGCGGTGGTCCAGGACTCGGCCCTGTTCCGCCAGCGCACAGCGCCTTCGGCGGAGGCGGCGGCGATGTCCACGCCGACGGCCGCCCCGGCACCCGGCGAGGACACCGCCACCAGCGGCGAGCCGCCGCCCCTGGTGCCCCCCCGCATGCCGCCCGACGGCATGGGAATCTCCGGGCTGAAGGGCTATGTGCCGAGCCTGGACCCGAACTGCTTCGACTACATCGAGGAGCCCATCTACTTTGCCATGCGCCGGGCCTGGGACCGGTGCGCTTTTCCCCTGCTGCCTTCTCGCCCCCCCCCTCTGGCCCATGCGCGTGACTCACACTCCCCTTGCCCGCGCCCGCGCCGCCTCCACACCAAACAAGGCTCCCCCTGGAAAATGTCCAGATCGCCACGCTGCCGATGGTCGGCGGCGGGCCGACGGCCGGGCGCCTCACCCGGCCGGTGCGGTCCTTCACCGAGCTGGGGGACTTCTCGCTGGCCGACCTGGACAAGCGCGTGGCCGATGGGTATGTGGTCCGGTCGGTGTCGGGCTTCCACCTGGCCTGCTTCCGCATGCGGGCCCCCTTGCAGTTGACCAGCCACTGCGTGCCGCACATCCTGGCCGAGTCGGACCTGCCGCCGGTCTTCCTGCTGACGAGCGCCGCCTCGGCCGGGTGGCACAGCGCCGGCGAGGCGCTGTACGGGGTGGCGGTGCTGTCGGACGCCCTGGCCCCGGCCGGGGTGATTGGCCACCAGCGCAGCCACTCGTGCTGCACGTGCAATTGCGTGCCGGCCGATGCCCCGGCCCCCGGGCTGGGGGAGGTCTTCCTGCGGCGGGTGGCCGCGCCGGAGCTGCCCACCCGGCTGGGGCTCATTTGCCGGGGGTCGCCGTTTGCCTCGCCGTCGGCCGGGGCCGCGGCGGCGCACGCCCACCCGGGGCCGGCGGCCCCCCCGGCGGCCCTGGCGCCGCAGCACCGGCGCCACCGGCCGCACGACACCCTGGACTATTGGGTGACCGGGTATCGGCTGGTGTCGCTGCATGCGCCCACGCGGGCCGTGGCCATTCGCCGGCTGCGCACGTACTTCCTGCTGTCCAGCCGGGACTTGGAGCACCCGCTGCTGCGCCTGGTGCAGCCGGTGCCCCTGGCCACGTCGCCGCTGGACCGGGGCCATGTGCGCAGCGGCCGGCACGAGCGCATCCTCCTGGCGGCCGGCTTCCGCCCGGGGGACATCGAGGCCTGGCTGGCGTACGAGTATGACCGGCTCTTCCCGGAGGGGCTGTCGCACTTTGTCTACCCGGCCGGCATGCCCGTGCGCCTGGGCCATCCGGTGTGCGTGTGCCCGCAGGCCCTGCCCCTGGCCTCGGCCTCGCAGCTGGACCTGCTTCCGGTGGACCGGCACCTGTCGCCGGCGGCCTCGGATCCGGCTTCGCACGAGGGGTTCCCGGCCGCCGGGGCGGCCTTCCTCCGGCATCCCTCCGCCGGCCTGGGCGAGGGGGCCTCGGTCATCGGGCCGCTGGCCACCACCGACGTGTCCATGGTCCGGACGCCGCTGACCGGCCTGTCCTCCTGGGAGCGGGTGGTCGTGCCGGTATGTGGGCCTGGCAGCGCCGTGTCTTCCCTTCATCCTGTTCCATCCTGTTCCATCTTGTTCCATCCTGTTCTATCTTCTTCATCCTGTTCCATCCTGTTCTATCCTGTTCTATCTTCTTCATCCTGTTCATCCTCTTCACCCTCTTCATCTTTTCCGTCTTCATTGACATCTTACTCCTCCCTCCGCAACCCCCCCCCCCCCCCCCCCCCCCCCCCCCCCCCCCCCCCCCCCCCCCCC